TATCCTCCGGTATAGTCATTTTTCGCTATCTTTCGCTATATTTGTGAGATGATGGATCTTTGCATATCATTATGGCAATTTTTCCTGCTACTTTTCTTTCATTCCATTTTTAATCGCTGTCTTGAAACGTTTCGAAGATCTCAAATTGAATTATTTTGATATCCTCCGGTATAGTCATTTTTCGCTATCTTTCGCTATATTTGTGAGATGATGGATCTTTGTATATCATTATGGCAATTTTTCCTGCTACTTTTCTTTCATTCCATTTTTAATCGCTGTCTTGAAACGTTTCGAAGATCTCAAATTGAATTATTTTGATATCCTCCGGTATAGTCATTTTTCGCTATCTTTCGCTATATTTGTGAGATGATGGATCTTTGTATATCATTATGGCAATTTTTCCTGCTACTTTTCTTTCATTCCATTTTTAATCGCTGTCTTGGAACGTTTCGAAGATCTGAAATTGAATTATTTTGGTATCCTCCGGTATAGTCATTTTTCGCTATCTTTCGCTATATTTGTGAGATGATGGATCTTTGCATATCATTATGGCAATTTTTCCTGCTACTTTTCTTCCATTCCATATTTAATCGCTGTCTTGAAACATTTCGAAGATCTGAAATTGAATTATTTTGGTATCCTCCGGTATAGTCATTTTTCGCTACCTTCCGCCATATTTGTGAGATGATGGATTCTTGTATATCAATGATTTTTACGTAATTTAATGGAATTTGATATCACTGGGTATTTGTGTATTAAATATTAGATGTCGATTTTTCCAGAATTTATTTCGCCGATATATAATTGGAACTGAAATTAAAATAATGGAATTAAAATGGAAATACTTCTTGGCAAGGGACTTTGATAGTCGTCTGCTGGTTTCACTTACTGTAATGAAAAATATCGTCTTACCTTTTCAAACGTGTGCTCTTTCAAATACCTGTGAGGAATGATTTTGGGCACTGCGTTCTAGAAAGTCGGACACGATAATTACGTTTTAAAGATGCAGAGTAATAGAGGCGGTAGTTGAAAAAGAGTCGAGTGAAAGTTTTGCGATGATGGAGATCGCACTGCAATAGATACTCTCCTTTTATAAAGAAACAAATTGTCAAGCATTAGTTTTATCCGTTTCCGCAGGAAACGCTGAACTTAAAATTGCGACATGTTCCATTAAACCGACACTCCCACAGATGAACCTTCTGATCTAACTATAATAATCGAATAACCAATAACCTTCCTTTTCCGTTTTCAACATCCACATAAAAATCGCCATTTGCACTCTTTACGAGTGCCAGTGAGGAAATGAAAGTTTCTGAAATTCGATCCGTCATTAGTCATAAAATGATCATGGATTTTATTTCAACTTCATCAATTGAAGTAAAATTAAAATAAAATTAGTCATTTAAAGAAATTTATAGGAAATTAAATATTATTGGAATATTATATATTAACAGTTCCATGGGAAAATAATTCGATCTGTCATTCGTCATGAAATGATCATCGACCTTATTTAAACTCGATCAATTATTTTCCCCTGGAACTGTTAATATATAATATTCCAATAATATTTAATTTCCCATAAATTTCTCTAAATAACTAATTTTATTTTAAACAAACCAAATTCTCCAGCGATCCTGCAAGTGTTGCTTCCCATTTAATTAAGCGTTTTCGTTAGAACACGAGGATCAATAAATTAAGTAGGGCACAGAGGAATGCAAGAACCTTCTGGAACACATCAAGAGCGAGTTAATTAAACACGAACGCGGCAGAGGGTTGGCGATGACCGAGAAACAAGAAAACACGAAGACGGTCTCGTCGTAACAATTCGTTGCTACGTTTTCTCAATTAAAAGGCAGTGAGCAGAGAACTTAATTGAGATCAGGGTTCTCCGTCAATTATTCACGCATTCCTCGCGCGAAAAATGCGAGCATTCTATTAAGACACTTTCCTCTCTTTATCTCGACAATTATTAATTAAACGAAAGCAATCTACTTTTAGTTCTCGGTTCGCGTGACGTCCCGACCTGCCTCTAGTTCGCTGAGAATTTATCCCTATTGCCTTGAACCATTTGCATTCCGATTTCTAGGCTCAGCCGAAGTGCGTTACGTCGCGATTCACGCGAATTAAATCGTTGGACGTTGACGATGAACCCGTTCCTGCAATAACGAGATAAAAATGTACAATAGTTCTATGTTAAATCGAGTCGTATATTTACCTAGGAGATGATATTAATTAAAAAATTCGTGGAGAGTACGAATTAAAAATGAATCGAACATTTCTCGAGAAATTTATTTCGATCCTAAAGAAGAGACGGAAAGTTGCCGAGTGTATTAATAAAGAGAATTAATTGAGCTGTTAACAATTCACAGTGGAATCTCTCGGTAGGAAGGTCGGTAGACAAATTTTTCAATCGACATTCCGCTTAAATTACGTCATTTGTCCGTGTCCTTAGGCCTTGGTAATGCTCGCATTTGTCTTTAAATACTCCCTTTCCATCACACCTCCTGTGCTTTCTTTTTCAATCTTCGAGGCTTCGATAGGACGAGCCGACCTCGCACCACCGCTTAAGGAACTTCTGCCTTTATCTCACCTCCGCTTGTCGCGAATAAATCTATGTGGTTGACGTCAACGAACGTTCGATTAATGAAATAGAACCCTTAAAATGATCGGGCAATTTCTCACCCACTCTGCAATTTATGTCTCGCTCAAACGACAATTTTACGTAATAAAATTCCCCTTCAACATTTCAGAAACCATTTTATTACACAATCATCGACGAAGGAATATTTCCTATGGACTCTGTCTCAATTTCTTGGGAGTTAAAATAAGCGTGAAAAGATTTATCAAAATGGAAATACAGGCGCCTTCTACAGATAGTAATAAGAAAAATCCAAAACCTGCTGAAACCTATTGAAAGAAAGGAAAGAATTATTCGCAGACGCGAATTCAGAAGAAAATAAAAATCGAATGGGATTTACGACAACGTTTACTGACAAAAAAAAAACTTCTTACAATAATTGAGTTTACATACAATAATTCTTGCATTTTTTTGGGGGGTAACAGGGAACGGCAGGCGAAAAAAAAAAAATAGGAAAAGAGTGTGTATATATACGATCGAATCGCAGAATGACGCAAAGAGCGACGTCGCGATCGCGTCTAAAATTCAGACAGCGTCGCTTCTCTTCGATATCACGGAAGCGAGGTCGCGATACACGAAGAGGTCGGGTCGACGTTTCGTTCGCGTAGAAAACTTAATAAAATAATCAACCGACAGTGGTGGGGCTTTAATCGGCTCTAAGGGAGCTCCCGCGGTACACACAGGTATAAAAGGAAACGGAAAAAGAACGGGCGAAGATATCACAATCCAGGATAATAAATTTACACGCGATTTCCGTGCTTGATTAGGGACCAATCGCCACCCCAGACGCATCGAGAGAGACTAGAATGATTAAGAATAAAATCGACGATTGAAATCTTACAAACGTACGTGCTTAATAACGATTCGTTAATGATGATACGGATAATAATAATAATTAATTACGATAATCCTGCGTACAGCTACGACGAGACGATAGAGAACGGTCGCCACTGTTTTTCAGAATTTTCTCTTTTGATTCACACCACGCGGTTTACAGTAATTCGAGTTTATTTACAATGACCATAAGCGAGAAATCGCGAGAAAGATACTCGTGCAAACGGCAAAACGATGGTCTTTTTTTCGTTGCCGAGTGATTTACGTGTTCGCGATGACATTGTGATTGCATAACTGATCGTTTGCATATCGGAGTTTTTTTCTTTTTCGTTACGCATGAGCAAAGTTAACCTGGAATCGAAGAACGTGAAATTTTCTTTACAGTTTTATATCTTCGTTCTCTACTCCCTTTTTTCCCCCTTTTGCGATTTTTCTTTGCACACGCGCATGAGCGTATCCGCGTTTATTGCAACGCTGGTACTTCGTTTCACGTTTCACGATACTCTGTCAAACGAGGAAACACCGATATGAACGAACCTTCGACGACTGGCGCATTAACTGAGAAAAAGAACGCTAGATACATAGTAATACTAAACGAAAATACTTAAGAGAATCCTAGACGAAAGCCCCCGCGTTGGAGGAGAGAAACAGTAAAGAACGCCTGTTATCCCTAACTGTACAGACTTCGCGTTGCTTTACGCTCGTATTTGCATTGTTAGATCGTACCTCTCGCCTCGGGTTTCGCGATTTCGTCTTCGCCTCGACACCGAAACCGCACGCGCACACGCAAAGTGACTCTCCTCTCGATTTTCCATTCGCTGCGAAGTATCCTTCGCCTTGCACGAGTCTCGTACCCGACATATTAGCACTTTTTTCTTAAACCTGTATGCATCTGCGTCCGAAGATCGGCTCGAGAAATAGGACGTGGAGCCATCGAACCAGTTCTCCGCTCTCAGTCCAATCCTCGCGAGAAGCGGATTCGAAAATTCAGATACGCTTCGAAAATTCCTATTACATCGTCGATTTATTAAACGCGACCACGAGTACAACACGAATCGGTATAAAAAATTCTGGACGGACTCTGATTTCATTTCGGTACACAATCCTCCTCGTCTATATCGTTAAAAACATTGTTTAAAAGCGGCTAAAATTCGCGACGTTACATACACAAGTACTCGCACTCGCTCGCGCATTCGCAGCTGCACGCGAGGCAGAAGTCGCTACAAAGAAACCAGTCTATTGACACGTTCCGCTCGATCCTGGCGGCAAAGCCGCGCGCGAAGAGGAACATGGAACCACGCGTACTCGCGCGTTCCGCAAGCATCGATCAGCTGTCGATACCCGGGCGCATCTATCGAAAGTGTCGAGCTCGCGATCATCCGTGTTCCTCGCGCGAACTTCGTTTCGCGAACTCGAAAACGTCCAGCTGATCGGACAGACGATCGTTCACTGGACGCGTGATCGATCGCGATCACGGATCGAGGGTCCGGAGTACACGATCGTGCGCGTCGAAGAGGAGTCGCACGACAGGGAAACGATTTCCAGGGGATCTCTGCCGCGATGCTCAATCGGTGCACTCGGAGGCGAAGCTCTCGAGGTCCACGTAATGTCCGTTCATGTTGTCCTCGAGCAGCTGCGCGAGATCCCTCCTCAGAGTCTGGAACTCGGGTCTGCGGTCTGGATCCGCGTGCCAACATCGGGATATCACCCTGAACAGCTCGCTTCGACAGTGCGAAGGCCTCTCCAGTCGATAACCGTTCTGCACGTTCCGCATCACTTCCCGTGCCGTCATGTCCGGGTACGGTGTCGAACCTGTGCCAGCAAAATTAGTCCTTGCGTTATCCACACGGACGATAATGCGCGCAGAAGTGTCACGCGCCGTGCACACCATGCGGACAAAATGGTACTCTGAGGTGTGCACGAGTCTCTTTCATTTTGCGTTAGTCGAAAAGTCAATTTGGTCTTTCGAACCGAAATAATGGAAATTTTCTAATGACAATTTTACCTGACTTTTTGCTCGCTCTGATTTGTAATTTTTAGTCTTAGAATGAAATTTGGTGTCATTGTAGGGCAACGATTTTTAGAGAATATTCTGATGTTAGTTATCGACTAATTTGATTTGACAATACGTGTGCGTTGTTAACGATGAGGATTCTTCTTCGAACCTAACCTATCTTCCTAATTTCATTAACACTAAACGTACCGAGCAGGGTGAAATGACCTCTTTCAAAATTTACTTTATAAATTGTACATTCATTATTATTTCTTTCGCTCGTTCGATCTGTAAATTCTCATATTATCCGATCGTTTAATTCCCGGCTTTCCATTTTTCTCTCAACTTATTTTTTACCGAGAAAAATTCTTTGCACACTTTATATACCACGAAGGGTCACTTGACCCCCTATGGTAAGAATAGGTGCGTGTAAGATACCGGTACGTTTAGTGTTAATTATTACCAATAAACTACTTTCATTTTTCCCCATATGTATAAGGTATAAAGAACGTACACTCACCTAGGGTGACGATCTCCCACATCAATATCCCAAAGCTCCAGACGTCCGTCTTGGTAGTGAAGAGCGAGTAGATCAACGACTCCGGCGCCATCCACCTTATGGGCAGTGCGTTCCTGCCGTGTCTGGTTTCGATCACCTCCCCGTCCTCGTTGGCGAATCTGGACATGCCGAAGTCGGCGATCTTGCACAGCTTGTTATGGTCCACCAGCACGTTCCTCGCGGCGAGATCGCGGTGGATGATCTGCAAGATCGGACAAAGGCACACGGCTCGATCAACCTTCTTCCCGGACGTGTCGCGACCGCAGGTGGACGTCCTGTTACGCAACGGCGTGACAGCAGGTGACACGCGATATCGTGCGACAGGGCGAGGCGAAATCGAACCCTGCCTCGAGCCGATCGGGGCGACGAAAGGACGCCACCCTCGATCGCGACCATGGAATACGCGTGGATTTTACGACGCGCGCGGATTCCGCGTCGGCCATCTTCGCAACACGGCGGCAAGGACGCGTTATTGCTTATTATTTACTGCACGCCTGATTTATCGCGTGTTCGTCGTACTGTTATCCGCCGCGGAAGCTGGGCTTGATTTATTTTACGTTCGCGTGTGGCCGACCACCATGGGCCCAGACAGCGCAAGCTTCGATGGAAATTGTCCGGCGCACCGATAAACGCGCGGGAAATTTAATCGTCGTCAGCGTGGATCGGTATCGCGATGACGTTTCTGCAACGATGAAAGCTTCGATTAATTGTCGAGGAATACCGAACACTCCTGCACTCCGTTGGCATGGAGGTTCTTTCTAAGAAAGATTAGAGGGAATGGTGATTATAATGTAACAACACCGCGGATGTAACTATTTTATAGACCTACCTGAAGTGAACCCCAATCAACTCGTCGTGAAAGATCACGAAAAGGCAGATTTTCACTTCGAGATCCTACTCCCGAGATATATACGTAGGCTCGGACGAATATAAGATAAATTGAGATTGGATGAGCATAAACCATGCCACGCGTGTATAAGGTACGAGAAGAGTCAGCGTACAATGTATCGAGATATTAAAATCGATATAAACTTCGAATCCATCTCGTGGAAGTAGAGGTTAAAGCATTCCCGATAAGCAGATCAGCTCGAATACCTCCATTACCGTTTCCCTTCTTTCGAAACGCAAATAATCTCCGCAAACCACTAAATTACACCCATTGTAAATTACACGTATAAACATACAAATCTCCGAGCAGATAGCTTTATAAATCTCCCAAGTGTCTCCTCGAGCCTCGCTAAACGACGCAGAAATGATTTCGATCAGCCTGCTATCGGAATAATTTAAAATGATCGAGATTATCAACCTGTATACCTCCATTACCGTTCCAAATAACCAACAGAATCATGAAATTACAGCCATTCCTGCATTCAAGTATGCGAAAATGTTCGAACCGTAGTAAACGACATAGGAAAAGGAAAATGTCGGTCGGTCTACTAATAACGGTACGGGGGTCCCCCATCATGGGGTTTAACTTTACTTATTCCTGTGGTTCCCTCAAGTTCTGTCGGTTGGTACCCCTTGGTCGTGGTACTATGATACGGAGAGCAGGTAGAAGGACGAAGGGTCAGCAGAACGTTTGGTCCTGGGCCTGCTAGGGGACTCGTCAGTAAGGCATTCTAGCAGGCCCTGCCTTAGATTTGGTTCTAACTTAGATAGCATAGGAACTTTTATTTAAGGGTAGTAGAGGATCCACCGAGGACTTGCGAGAAAGTCCTCGAATCTCCTCGAAGTAGGAAGCCATTGGCAAGTGTGAGAACTTTGATGGCTACAACGGAATAATCCACAGTGACTAGCACAGTTCACCGAGTATACCTTCATCGTATCCCCTATCTCGAGGTCCAAATAACCAATCTAAATTTATTTATATCATATTTATAACTCGCTATAACTAAGAGTATCGCGATCATGGTACCATCTATCCCCGAAAACCTGCGAAAAGCCTGACAGTACGAAAGTAATTCGAGCTGCTGTGAGGAACCAGTTCTCGATCACGTGCCACCGCGGTGCAGAAAAATGCGAATTCGCTGGTCGGAAAATGCAGCTCGCGCGGGCCCCGTTCGACCGTGGCCGATGCTAACGAACTCGCGCCGCTCAATGTCAAGGCGAGCTGGATATACATACGTCTTTGCCGTTTCTTTAATGACTTCATCTTCTAGATTTATAGCGCGTGCCGCGACCACCGGCGAAAAACTCGAACGCGAGTCCATTTGTCGTGTCGACGTGCTCGTGTTTTTGCCCGCGCCTCGACGTTTCGCGCCGATGAAAAATGTATTTTCGCGACCGCGTTCGCCCAACAGTCGACCGTGGTACCACGCCGCCATTACGGTGCGCGGGAAAAAATGCAGCCACGGGGAGCAAAAAGGAGACCGGGATCCAGCTCGATCCCGATCTCGCTCCGGATAGCTAGATAAATATTTTCAACGAAGCGTCGGTGAATAAATTCAAATTTGACGGACGTCTTTATTGCTTCTGCACTCTTATCTTTCACACACGGGTGCAAGAGGCTTCTGTTTTTTCAGCGTTCGCTCCGAGCAAACATTTCTCCTTTGTCTTAAGGGCCCAGCTGTGCTTATATTTTTCCTCTCCAGTTTATCGCCGATGCACATCGAAAACTCGCGCAAACGGCGTCAAGTCGAAGGACGAATTCTCGCGGATTAAAATATCACGGGGTGTTTCTAATCCCGCGTCGAGGGGTCGTAAATAATTTCAGCTTATCGGACGCATCTGTATTAATTTGCAACTCGAACAACAAGGCGGACCCGGCGCGAAGTACGAGCATAACGATCTCGGTCTTATGCCAATAAGCTGTTCGCTGTTTCGTGGCTTGGAATCGTTTCATCTCGTTCGTGCATCGGCTCGTGGCTTCCATTTTCAATTAAGCGTTACTATGTATGTCGGCCTTGGCAGGAATTTCTGCGAACTCGTGTATAATCTTTGATGGAAATCGACATCCCGGCTCGGCTGCTCCTAGGTCGCTCTTCCAGCGACGAGCACAGGGTTCCGATGCCAATCGAGAATTCGTTCCCGCTGTTCGATGCCTCGAGCTTCCAGACCTCACCTCGCGCATCTCTGCTCGCCAATCATAACCGGTCGTCGATGATATTTAACCGTTTCCCATTTTTCACCCATCTAATTGACTGTGCAGCCTCTTGCTACTGTATCGTGGTCGATGGGAACGATAGCAGTGAAACCTACGCGTCACCGTGTTACCTAACCGTAAGTCGAGCAGCAGAAGGATCGATAGATCCGAGATAACTCGTGTTCGATTACTCGACTACTGTGCGTAGAAAAAATTCATTCGTAGTTCGTGTTCGTACAAGTATATATATATGTGTGTGTGTGATGGGAGTACGACCGAGATTAGGATTTGTTATAATAATTTATACGCAAAGAAAGTGTCGGAGAGGACTGAGAGAAAGATGACACGACAGAAGCACGGACCAGTCGGACGAATTATGGAGATGAAGGAGATACGTATCGGTTCCTTAAGAGGCTACCTAGATTAGCATACGTGGGTAGAAAAAGTCGAAGAAACCTGTTCCCGACGAATTTTCGTGAAATGTAAAAGCTCGTTCTATCGCGTGTAATGGGTATTTAAATTAATTTTTTCACAGTGCACCGGGTTCCAGCTGCACCGTTTAAACGGCGTCGTGGTTAGGGTAGGTAGCGGAGGATGGAGCTTCCAGCACGTTTCTCGAGCTCAGTAAAGCGGGAAGGGAACCTTGGTGTTCTTCATGCCGGAATGCACACTATCGGTTTCCTTCCGATGAGTAATTATTGTCCACTAACTTCAGAAAATTAGCTTTCGCGCGCCGATTCCGCGAAGACGATTACGCGAACGCCGGTAAATCGACATTCGCGGGAAATAATTACGAGCGTAAATTTTGCCCTTGCTGAAACACCCTGGTGTTTCTCCGATAGGAGGCTCGTCCTCGCTGATATCGTTTCAGTAGAAATAATTTCGGTTGCCATTTCTGTGAAAATTAATTCCAACTATTCCTTTCGCTGAAAATGAACAGCAAGTGTCACGAAATAAAACTCGATTGTCGACTCGATACGACTAAATTTCGAAGAAAATAAATCTCAACTGCTGTTTCGGCGAGAATAAACTTCGATTCGTTGTAAATAAATACCGACTGTCACTCCGATGGAAATAAATGCCGCTTGTAAATTCGGTGTAAACAAATTTCGATCGCTACTGCAATAATACCGAAATAAATTCCGATTTTACGTCGTACGTCTCAACTGACGGCGGAACAAACACGGTGGAATAAAATTAAGAAGTGGTGCAAAAAATTAGAGGTTCCCTGTGTCGTAAACCGTGTTCAGAAACGTGCAGACACAGCGATAGACGAAAGGAAATTTACAATGTTGACGCGAGCCACGATGGTACAATTTGACAAAAAATGAAAAAAAAAGAAGAAGCATTAAGCGTGGATGGATGCATAAAAATGTTTGCTTTACGTTTTCCAAGCGAATCACGCGCCGGCATTGAGAAGGTTACAACCGTAATATTTAAACGCGCTCGTGTCACTTCGTCGCATTATCAGCTTCGAATCATGCATTCTTCGCTTCGAAATTTCGAAGACGGCAAGAAAAATACAGCGAGTCTCGTTAACTTTTCAAACCTCTTCGTTCGTCTCTCAGCATGATTCAAAATCTATCCACGGGCGATCCCTAACCTTCCCGATTAACACGAGCGATTTGTAGCCGTGAGATCAGTTTCGCTTTCAAATTCGCATCTCGGAAATAATCTCGTCAAAGTCTCGACCAGAAGATATCACGAAAAAAAGGAAACTCCATAACGGAACATGTAAATATACGCAAAAGATTGGCCAAAAATATCGCGCGAATTTAAGCTCCGCTAATCAGCCTATTTGGAAACTGCGAGAAGCAAATGTTTGAAGCACGAAAAGATATCATTATACCAAACAGGTCTAGCAAGGTATATGGAGATACGAAAAATTATCTGAAAATGCGTGACAAAGGAATATTTAGATCGTTGATAATTATCTGCAAGATCGTAGATCTCGTTTCGATCGATCCTCCTCGCGTGTTCACCCTAATACGAATTTATGGTCGTCCACGTGAACGTTCTCGGGGTAATACTATTGTTAAATGGGTTATAACGCAAAGGAATAGTAGTCAAAAAGGTGGAAAAACAGTATAGATTTTTATTGAACGAGTGAACGGTTAGAACTGTCCTATTTAGGGCCACGCAGGTCACAGGACCTGCAGTCCAGAAAACAGGAGACAAGAAATAAAACGCAGAGGAGGGGATCGCCCCCACATCGCTAGGATGTAGAGTTTGCTTCACTATTTAATTTTACTACGCAACTATAACGATCATTCCCAAATTACCTTCAACCCACGGCCCCTATTTTTGCCCACTGACACAGATTCACCTGGCGGAATGGCCCCCGGACCCCTTGCTCCTCGCGGCGCTAAGAAAATATTTGAGGTACAAATACCCATTGACAAGCTGTTTGTCATACCGTCGCTCTTCTGCGCTCGCGACCTTGAGCACTGACGTGCAGGCAACCTCGAAGGACGAGGGAGCTGATTTTTATCGCAACTCTTTTGACACGTAGGTGCCATTTGTGAAACGCATTGGTCACCTCGCAGGCGAAATTTTACGCTTTTAAAGGACTTCGCTATTCAATGGTCTTCACTTATTCCGGATTCGTCGAGTTTTTCGGTCATTAACTGACACGAACCGGAAAGAGGAGAAAGATTCCTTTATTCCAAATTTTCAAGACTCTCGAGGATATCGTGTTCCAAATTTGCCATACATTCGTTTGGCCTTGAAAAGAAATACGGCGACTGCAATTTTATTCGTGTACCCTTCTGTTATTTTCGTGGTAATTGTAAAATACTTCGGTTCAATTTCCATTAAAATTGATAAAGATATTGATAAACACGGTCGTTCGCATTCCCGCGAAGGGGGGAATTAATTTCGTGGTGTATTTATTGAGCGGAGTCGTTAGTTTCTTTTATGGGTCGAAATATGGAATCGATTACAGATTCAGAAAGAATTAGGAACAAGATCGACGTGGCATGAAGTAACAACATCGGAGGCGATACTTCGATATAATGCAGCGGTAAGTAGACGGTCGCTGTATCGTTTTGGTTCCACCACCGAGACCTCGCAAACACGCGAGCATATAAAATCATAATAAATTTTCGGCCAACACCACGAGGCCTCGTAAACGTAATGGAAATACAAACAAGGGGGGCTAATAATTTAAACGCGGTCACGGAAAGGTACTTTTAATATTTCACGGTTATTAAAACCCGTATGCGCGTCACGATACCTCGCTTAACATACTAAAAAGCGAATGGAATAAAAGCATCCGAATAATTCCCGTAATTTAATTAACTCTCTGTAAAATTCCTTCCTCACGATCCCTTTTTACTCGTGCCATTAAAGAACACTCGCGCCAAAATTACTAAAACAAAAAGGACAATTAAGAACCTGAATCCAAAATGGCGAGTGGGATAAATCACGCGAGAAAGAAATTCTCCGTTTATCCTAACTGTCGAAACGATAAATTAAAATTTCGGAAGAGTACTTTCAGACTCGTGGCAATTCGTTAACCCTTTACTGTCTAAACTTCGAAATTCAAAATGGAGAATATAAGCATAAATCGATTAACTCCACTTTTTGAAAAATCTTAAATTTAAGTGTCAAAGCACTTGGTATAGTCATAACTACGTCATTTCATTGCATTTCTCCACTTTTTGTTTTATGGAGTTAATCAATTTGTACAGTGAACGGCTCATATAATACTTGGAAATGCTTTCTGACTCTCACTTTTCGCATCCTTCTAATCCGCAATATATTTCCGTTAATAGATCTTCGTCAAATTAAATTACAACGCGAAAGAGTGATATTTAGCGAAAATCGTGACCCTTATCCCGTATTAAAAATTTAAGGATTGCCTCGAATTATTGAAATTAAGGGACATAAAAATAATTCGTAATTTACCTAAAAATACGCTAGGACGAATTACAACTAGGAACTACGATAAAGGTATAAAGGAACACAAACTCACCTTCTTCGACGCGAGATACTCCATACCCCTGGCGACGCAGTACCCAAAAACAGTGAGATCCCTGGAGGTGAGCGCAGCCGAGTCCTCGCTGAAGTTGTAGAAATCCTGCCTGGTGCGATGATCGCGCAGATACGCCAGCAATTTCCCGTACATCACGTACTCGAGTATGAGATAATGAGGCTCTGCGAACAGGCATACGCGATTACACAATTAATTTGCCGCAGACGGTTCTACGGTTTCGCGAAATTGCAGTTTGATCAACATTAACGCAGCGGAGGAAGCGGGATGAGGACGTGCGAGGGATTAGAGGACCCCATGGGGAGAATACGAAGGGCCCGTACTGTAGGGAGGCCCTTAAAGTAATTTAACCGGAGCACTTTCGGGCCCCCGTGGGTAGTATCCGGCTGATTGTAACTTATGGGCCCACTTCTGCTGGCTCCACGGGATCGTAACTCTCATATTAGGCTAGCATTACCAACCTCTAATAACTTTGGTTTGTTAAGGAGCGTTTCTTTCTGCCAGCGGTTCGTTCCGCGTCGGAACAGCGTTACATAGCTGGTCACAATATTTGCACCTTGAGAAATGTAACGTCGTTCCTGGATAATGCCAACAAACTTCGGAGGATTCTAACTTTGGCCCACGCGTAGAGTTACGACTGCTGTTAACAACTGTATTCGTCACTGACTAATGCTCGCGTTATCGTCTTCCTCAGTTGGGAAAATACAGGTATACGATAGAAGTCTACTTGTGTTTCTATTTAGGAATAACTAGATGAGGCTAACTTTGCGACTGTCACGATTGAACTGTCACGAGACGCGAAGGATCGATATAGTATGGCTTGCCCAAAAGTAGGAAGATTCGTTACAAAGACCCTAACGTGGTGGAGTCATGGTAGCAATGATCTGCAGATCGCGAGGGTTCGATCTAGACCTCGATGACTCGAGACATCTCTTGACAGAGGTTAGAGTTTAAAGGCTGCTACAGTGTCCAGAACTACCTACGAAAGATTCGAATCTGGCATAGTCTAAAATAGGCTTCATGAACTTGAAAATAAGGAAATCGAGGTGTTAGGTGTCAGGATGGTTAGTCATCCTTACTACTCTCCTGGTTAGAGAGGATTCTCAGGTTGGAGTTGCGTCTCGAGACACGGTTGTAGAGTGGACCAGGTGTGTCTCGACTGAGTTTCGTGTTTACCTTGATCTTGAAAAGGATCTAACTCCTCTACCTCGATCGCAGGATTATTTGCCTGGCAGAAAATTGGAGAACTGTTATTGACCGATGAAGGTTGACTCGTATGTCATTCTAGCACCTCAATCTAATCGACGTAGTTAGGTATAATAACACGGATAACCGATACGAGGAACTGTTGCGAAAAGAACCGAGTACTTTCCAAACATCCTCGTGTTACGCAAGATCAGCGTGACGTAAATTACGTATAAACACGACCGCGAATTTTAGGATCTGATCAACACCGAATTAATCACTCCAGACGTCAAGGAATACCAACGAAATTCGTGTTTGCACCTGGATTAATGGGTTTTTAGACGAACAATGCGCCTCCGTGCCCACTCGAATGGCTAAAATGTGTCACTGACAAGCGGTTGCCGTAACGATTATCGCCAGGCGCGATATTTCATCGAGAGGAAAAGAAATACGAGATCGGAAGGCTACGCTGCAAAGTGGAAACTTGCTCGCGAGCCTAATTCCTTCGTGTTAAACTATCTTGGAATCTCGATCCACGTGAATTGCGCCGTCTCTCGATGACACAGGGGAAAAGAAACAGAAGAAGAACGAAGAAAGGAAGAAAAACGTCGGGATCATCCAAGGAATTCTTTTACCTATCCTGAATACCGAGTGACGACAGAAATTTTCCAAGATACCACGAATTAATCCAACGAGCTGGCTAATTTATCATCTCCTTGGCATAATCTCGCATTTTAATCTCGCATTTTTTCCATCCATTATCGATGGAGAATAATGGCAAGATTGAATGGAGTTCGATCAGGCAGTTCATAAATATTTGTACGTCCTTCGAGAAGGTTAGGGGTCCTTTGTTTGCCTTCGTTTTTTTTTTAATTTGTTGAAAGGATCCCCTTTGACAAGAGCCGGCCGTCAAAGGACGAAAACGTCGCTCGGGTGGAATTCGAACGCGCCCACCATGACCGAAACGATAAATACGGGGGGCCAGAAATTTAGATGCCGTAAATCTTGCGAGTAGGTTCACGCAGGCCTGTTTTTTCTTCTATGCGCGTCGAACGTAGTCGAAGGACCTTCGGGGTGGTGGGTCCCAAAACGAACATCGCCGCGTCCTCCGTGGACCTTGAAGATGGTCCTCGGTTATTAGAACCGCTCCTTTTACTCTATCTTCTTCCCTCGGTATCGCGAATATTAAAGATATTTCTTCCATTAAAAGTCGAACAGAGGAAACTTATCTCCTTACGACGCTTCTCGTTGACAGGTACCATTTTACGGATCGAAAACGTCCTCGTCTAAATCTTGGTCGCAATTCCTCGCACGTCTGTTGCGAATGTGGAATTTCTTTTTCTAAATGAAATAGAAGAAACGAATAATCCTTGAAACGTTACTCGCTGATGTTTATCTACCATTTCATAGCACGTGCACGTGTAATGCACTTTCAATATCTCCGTTGCAACTCACAGGACCCTAGCCCCATTCCAAAACCCTATCGCTGACCCTGCGCTTTTTCCAAAGGTATCGAGAAGCCGTTTCCCAGAGCGGATTAAACTTCGTGCTATTACTAGACCAGCTCGCCAGGCATTAGCATACAATCGCGGAAAAGGACTAGCCCGCGCATAAATATCGAGGGAAGGCCGCAACGACGTCAAATCCAGATCGACGTTCATGCGGACCGATGGTATCGATACCGGTGTATCCTCGGCCTGAACCCCAGCTACGAACGATCATTTCGCCGACTTAATAGACGTATTGTGCCACGGGGATCGTCGCCGTGGGGACGCGTATGGAAATTTATACGATGAGAGCGACGATACCGACGAGCCTGCAACGAAACACGTATAATGGGCCTCCCTCTTCCAGCTCCGCCGCGACTAAAACTTCCAGATTGTCTCGTTGCTGTTTTGATGTCTCAAGCATCGGATTTGTCGTTAACCTCGAGACGCGCCTGCGCAATGATATGCACGTCGAGCGATACGGTTGTCACCTTAATTGGATAAGAACTCCCGATTTCCCTCTTATTTATCTCTCTGCAACACTCTGACAGATGACGAAATTGTAACCGTTGGACCTGGAAGATCGCGATGGTATTGAGACAGGTGGTTCTTCTCCCCAGACAATTACGTCTCGCTGCGTTGCTTGACGCAGTTTCGTGCGTGCAACTGCGCGGAATCGATAACTGGCAAAACGAAAAACTGCGATTTACCGGTTTATCGGTCCCATCGAGATAATTGCGACTAATGTCGCGAACAGCACTGTGATTACCGTAAGTATCCAATCTACGTAATGGCGATCAATCGCATCTCGATTAATCAGACATCGACTTCCCATGGACTGGCGAGCTTAACGATTTCATGCTGCAACTTTCAACAGCCAAGAAGATCCTGTTTAGTATCGCGAAATTGGATTCCCCAAGATTGATATTTCGTAGCATACCACAGGTATACTGGAAACCTTGTAAAATGAAATGAAATACTTTTCATGGAACAAACGTAGAAGACAGCCTCGAATTACAGAATTCATCAATTACAGAAATTCGAGCTCACCATAAAGACATTTACGAGCGTGTCTCAAAATTTGGGAGATGTATAATATACGTCGCAATAATTTTATCGATACACGTATAATATATAATTCATCCTATAAATACCATAAATCACAATACCAACGAATACACGCCACTTCTTTTGTTAATTCCTAGCCATCACTCAGGTAAGTTTGATGCCAGTTTCCAACACAATGCGCGTTTGCAAATACAAAACACCGTGTCGATTCTCTCTGCCAATACCGAGAACGGCGTCCGACTCTGAGAAGAAAAATCTAATTCAAGCATTGTCGCGATTATCCCACCGCGTGGCACTCGTTAATCCGTCCTCCGCGTCGACTGCGGAGGCAGCTAGCCGCGGCTATTACTCAATTACTGCTGGATGATGGCACGTAAACAGCCGATCGATCTTCCTTTTATCCGCGAAACAATAGCGCACGCGTGTGTAATGATCGCGGTGGCCACAGGATCGGAGGACACGACGGCGAAGAGGACGAAGAGGAGGAAGCACGTGAAAAAAGGCCTATCACGGCTGACTCAATGACAAGGAATGCATCTCTCTCGCGCGATACCCTAACGACGTCTTCAATATGCATTACGCCGTGTTCCACGCCGATAGCATCTGAAGATGCTCGTCGAAAACACGGAATCGTAAATAATTAAAGCTACGCTGGCAGCCGAGATAGGCGCGATTTCAACGGCAAACGTGATCGAAACCGGCTGCCTTCTAAGCGTAGTTTCGTGGTCTGCAGTTGCAAATTATTATTTACACAATCGATTCTCGGGAACAACGTGCGCGATGAGAAAATCGTTAGGAAAAACGAAGAAGCAGGGAAGGAGAGAGAGATTTATTTTTGAGTTAGACGCTCGGATAGTTGAATATGCAAATTCCTTTTACGAGGCGGAGACTGTAAATAATTTAAGATCGGGACGGAAGCTGGAAAAATCCTATCGGAGGAATATTGACGGCGACGTTGTCTCTTCTCGAGATTTTACGACGATCGGCGACACGCGACGAGGGAAACATCGTGGAAGGATCGAAGACGGAGACGAAGATCGCGGAACGTTGCTTTTCAGATAAACCAATCCCCGTCTTAGAGGCTTGATTACTTAATCGGCGTATTTTGCAACACGCGGGTTGGCCGTATACGAACTGACACTTAAAACGCCAGCAGTTTTTACAAAGACGTCGAGGTTCGCACGGGCAAGGCCGGGAATAAGTGACTCGTGAACTTGGCAATAAAGAGGTATCGGTGTCGAGCGCGAAATCGACACGCATTTATTTAACGAGAGACGCGAATGCTAAATCGAATTTTGCTTTGCAAACTTCGCGAAGAAATAAAAATATCGAACGACACACTAGATGGATAACGCGAAAACCATCTTTTAATATTTTGAATATACGCCTGACGTATTTGGATGAATTTCGAAACGATCTTTAAACAATCGGCCAATTTTTGTTAATCGAACATAACTAGGAGTTGTATTTAGAATTACCGGTAGTTAGCAGGTAATTGAAAATTGGTTAGGAATTATAGAAATAATTTGTACCGATTAAACGAGAAATCGAGAGATCGATGATCAAAGTGCTTACCTTGTTCGGTGCAGCAACCTAGAAGCGTGACGACGTTCGGATGGCTGCCGAGTTGCTGTATAATTTCGAGTTCTCGAACCAGATCTTCCTTCTCTCGTTCGGAAGCACCTTCCTTGACGGTTTTAACGGCCACTAATCGGGTAGTTCCCTGATGACCGGTCAGATCGTCGGCTTCAGCCTTCCAGACCTAAACACGAAAAAACAACACGTGAATCTGACTTTCTAATTGCATTTTAATTACGAGCTTTATCTTTCACGTAAAACTACAGTTCCATCTCTGAATCGCGAAGTTACAGGTTACAGGTTCGCGAAACTACACGACATATCAGCCATGCTCAACGGTAATTTTCCAATCAATCAACGCGCCTCGACTGTCAATTAAAACGATATTATCCAGGAACCTCGCAAGCAAATTATTCGTATAACGCAATGTGGTGTAAAAAAAGATTCGATAACGCGCCAAGTATCGTTACACAATAAACACTCGCGCAATAATGGAACCTGTCGCACCTAACCGGCCGATTGTTCACCTAATCAGTGGCGCGGTTAACGAGCGTTTCGAGAATAGCTAAACCGACGCGATAACTGAAGCTATGAGCAAAGCAAGACCAAACGTCAAACACTCGAAATCCATTACGTCGTCGCGAATCTCAGAAATCGGTAACGAACGATTCGCCAATTGCTCGTCGTTGGAACGTATAAACTCGCAAAATCGTTAAGCGATCGAACGAGGGAATAAAAATCGCGAGGAATAAATTACGATGGTTCCACTTTGGTTGGACGAAATGGCGGGGAAAGAAGAATAATATGGCGGCGATTAGGAGGAACGCGGGTTCATTGCTCAGAAATCGGTAACGAACGATTCGCCAATTGCTCGTCGTTGGAACGTATAAACTCGCAAAATCGTTAAGCGATCGAACGAGGGAATAAAAATCGCGAGGAATAAATTACGATGGTTCCACTTTGGTTGGACGAAACGGCGGGGAAGGAAGAATAATATGGCGGCGATTAGGAGGAACGCGGGTTCATTGCTCAGAAATCGGTAACGAACGATTCGCCAATTGCTCGTCGTTGGAACGTATAAACTCGCAAAATCGTTAAGCGATCGAACGAGGGAATAAAAATCGCGAGGAATAAATTACGCGGACGATGGTTTAACTTTGGTTGGACGAAACGGCGAGGAAAGAAGAATAATATGGCGGCGATTAGGAGGAACGCGGGTTCATTGCTCAGAAATCGGTAACGGACGATTCGCCAATTGCTCGTCGTTGGAACGTATAAAGTCGCAAAATAGTTAAACGATCGAACGAGGGAATAAAAATCGCGAGGAATAAATTACGCGGACGATGGTTTGACTTTGGTTGGACGAAACGGCGGGGAAAGAAGAATAATATGGCGGCGATTAGGAGGAACGCGGGTTCATTGTTGAAGCATCACGAGGCAGCTTCACGAGCCGAAATCCCGCGAGCGGCGCGCGTTTCGCGTTAACGTCCGACGATTTATTATCGCCGCCACTCGCCTCGGGACACGGTGTTCCTGTTCCGTTCGTGTCTGTGAGACGAATGCCTTACCTGGCCGAAGTTTCCTTGGCCGAGGACCGTCTGTAACCTAAGCTTATCTCTAGGAAACTCCCATCTGGACTCCGGCGAGGACGGGGGCGGCGGTTTCTCCGCTTCGTGACACTGCACAGAAAAAGAGGGCCGTATTGAATCGCGGACGATAATTATTTAAAAATGCCTGACGAATAAATCTGCCGCCGACCAGCTGCCTTTGATGCGCCGCGACTCCGGGCGGAAAGGTGAGCAGAGTGCGGTTCCGCGCGGTGAATTATCGTTTCTTCGCGGCCATTATTTTTGAAACTGGCATCCGAATAGTCGCGAGAGGATGGAACGTCGAAATGGCCCCGCGCGGGTCCAACTGCTCGATCATTTTTAAGGCTAAACTACTACTATGCTCGGTTAAATGACCGGTTTAACCGTGAATTGCGTCCGTTCCGAGGAAAAACGTCGCGGATGTTAAAATTCTCAACGTCCATTCTGCAAATTGCGTAACTTTTTTGAATACGTAAGATCCGTTTTTATTCATTTTTTCCTGGTAAATACGTAAACCGTTTTACGACCAAATTATTACAGAGAATAGAATATCTTTCGGAATAGCGTATCTTTTCTTTTTCGAAAATAAATAATTTCGTGGTCTTAACCTGGTGTCCTACGATTCGAGCTCTGATGGCGTGTGTCATAATAGACAGCGAAGTCGGTCACGCGTCGAGCCATGCCGTCCGAACACAACGAAGAATAACACGGCACTGAGGCAGAAGGATATCGGCGAAAATTAGCCGCGACCCTGAGCGGTGCTGTTTACGTTGGGCCCTATCTACAAACCACGCCCCTCGCACTTACTCATGTTTAATCATTGCCACGAGGCTCGCATTGTAGGTTAAAGATATCGTAAGATACAAGGAATATGGGTCGGCGAATTTTTGCTTAAAAATGTGATGAAAACGGTCCTTTATGCCGTCCCAGATTCAATATTAGTCCTCTGCGCTCGACGATTTTTCGACTAAAGAAGGCCACGAGTTGAAAAATTTTATGCTATTAATCTGACGATATTTTTGGAGCAGTAAATAAGAAATCGTGCAATAATTAACACGTTGAATTATTTAATTTCGATATCTCGCACACTGTTACGTTATTTTAAATTTGATCTATCAATTAATATCGAACTTCGAAATTTTATCAAATGGCGACTGAAGAGCGCCTCTCGAGTACAAAGGATTAATATTAAAATTGCTAACCTGTAAAGAACACTTAAATGTAACATATGTAACAAAGACATTTACACGTGGAAATAAACGAGTATACGTAATTAGATTTTTATTTTCAGCAACCGCGTGTTTTCTAAGTTGCAACGATTATTATTAGCATAATCCGATTAAGGGGAGATAATTAATTCGCGTTCGATTGGTGAACTATAGAATATCGGTAATGGCGGAAATAGCACGTGTAACTTACCAAGTGTTGTATCCTTGGAAGCTTCGTGATCGCCTTCTCGATGGACGTCTTGAAGTCGCCATTCTCGAGGTTCAACGCGTCCTTCCGGCAGCTTATTTCCGACGACGTGTCCGACTCTTCCAGCACCTGCGCAAAAATTAGCGTCATCGTGTTGCACGTGTAGCCGACAGGTACCCGACAGGTACATACGGACACGCGATATACGCGACGCCTCGATTTTTTCCGATTATTTTCGCAGCCCGTAAAGCAATCGTGACTCGACGCGCGAGCAGTACCCGGTAGCCGCGTTTTATCGCTCCTCTCGTTTGTTTAATTACGAGCGTTCGACGGGGGCCTTGCCGATCTCCTCGAAAGAAAAGCCTTCACGCAGACGCAACGAATGCGAATTTCATAGATAACGCCGACGAACTTGAAAACACCGAAGATGCAAACGTACAGTCGCCGGAGTCAGCGCAGAAAAACGAGTTTGACGTAAACGCGGGGACAAGACGTGATTTCTCGTTTTATTTCCATCCGACAGATCATTTTTCTCGCACTAGAGTCCTCACTGACGTAATAATTTTGCAACGCGAAATATGTTAGATAATTCATGCACAGATAACTCCATGCCTACTCGCGCCAGTGCATATCTGGATTCGAAAAACCACGTTCCTTTATTTTTTACAAAAATCAAAAATTTCGTGTCATCGAATTTTTCCTTTTATTTTCTCAATTTCTCGGATCATCGTAAATGCGTCGTAACGAATTCTGCATCCGTTAATTCTTCCTTCGGGGAGCGTTCGAGGAATGTCGATTTTTCAACGTCGAGGTTTAAATTTCTTCCATCGTCTCGAGGAGACGCGTAATTAAACGATTATCGAAGACAAAGACGCGATCGATCTCCGCATTATGTAATATCGTATTTATTTTCCCATTATCCCGAGGCATACCATCGATCGAGGCGTATGGGACGAGGCGATGCGTTTTCGTTGGAAAAACAAGCCGTCGGATAATCCCGCAGATACAATGAACCTGGCCATCACCGATCGACGATCGGACGTTCATTACAGATCCGGTGAATCACTGGCGAACCTTCGCGATACGCAAAAATTAGTCGACGACCGAGTTGTCGTGCCCATTCGCGGCGAATTCAGGGACAGGCGCGAAGAAATCGGCAGAAAAAGGAAACGATCGTGACACCTGATTTCTTCCCTCCCGCGCCATCGATTAATATCAAATATTTCCTCACGAGAATCTTCCTCCTACGTAAAAAGTCGCGAGCATACACTCGTCACTGTCCGACAAATCAAGGTCCTTCTTCCAAGGACCTCAAAATCGCACGATTCTTTTCGATCACGATCACAGCACCAACACGATGCCAAATGCAGAGACGCAAAATTTCGCGCAACTGTTTGGATTCTCGAAAAATTCCACGAACGAGGCTGACAACATCGATCCTTCGTCAAACCGGTCGAAAATAGACACGACTAACGAGACCTCGGATTTTTCCCTGGGACCTGCAGCAAGAAAAATATTTTCATCGTACTAAACCGTTAAAGAACCATCCCGCCGAGTCGATACGCGATGAAGAACGACGAGATCTCATTAACGATGCGGTTCATCACGATCCACGAGCAATCCGACGAAACTCGAACAGCAGAGTCGTTAACGACGCTTCCTAGTCCGAGCTTATGCCAGTTCCATCCACGCTGCAGGACCATGCACAACGATCCTTCATCGAGATCCATTGCAACGAGCACGGGATGAACGCTAATTCGAGCTTAGCGACGTCGTTACGCCAGGTCCTACGGCCCCGATCGGGCCCCATCGAGGAACCGCTTCACGGCGGCGGTCTCGAGCTAATTATCGAACTGTCCGGGCCGCTGCTGGCCACGTGGGTCTGTTTCGCGGCCAGGAGATAACGAAAGTCTGCCGGTTAATGGCCGGATGATAAATGCTCGCGGCCCGACGATAATCCACGGGGTCCGCGTAACGGTACCTAAGTGGCACTGCTATACAATTCGCGTTTCGATTTAGCGATCATCGGCCAGATACGCTTTACGGTACACCAATCGTAAATCAAAGTTTTTGCCAGGATAATACGAGCGGCGAGCAGCAGGGTAGAGAGGAAATTACACCCGCCAGACGGGAATCACGGAGAATAAAAATGAAACGTTTAGCGGCTCAAGGATACCATTTCGAATGGCCTAACCCTTCGTCCCAGCGGTTAGGAGCGTCGCTTTGAAATCGTTTCGTCGATCAAACGCGGTTAGCTCAGCCTCCTCCTTCCGACCGTGTTTCTCGGGGAACAGACTCTGGCAAACTCGTCCACCATTGTAACGTTTTTGCACCGTTCTCGCTGACCTAGAATCTAAAATCTCGGGCAAAAGAAGAATCGGGTGTGTCTTTGACGGGATTCGACGTCGTCGTGCACTCGCGAGATTCTTGGAATTTTTCGCGAAACCCGCGACTGATGGACGATCGAGACGTTCTTGCGCTGGTACGCCTGACCTACAGTCTAAACAGCGATATCGCGAGAGAAATCAGGCGGGTGTGCCTTTGACGGCGCGTGGTTTTGGTGTCGCGATGCACTCGCGAGATTGCAGCAGTCCTAACCGGACTCGCGATTCTTAAAATTCCGCGTCGGTTCCGAAGAAACGGAGCAAGAATAATTGCCTCGATTCGACCAAAGTGTCGAAAATTTTGATCGAAAAGATCGAAAACTGTGTCAACAATGGAGGAATGACCGCACGTTTTCGGACGATGCCGTGCAGCCTACGGTTTAACCCGTGATTCGAAGAAGCAGTTGGGCGTGTCTCTGGCATCGCGATTCAGTGTCGCGATGCATTCGCGAGATGGTTGAAATTTCTCGTGCGAGAGATTGCACGATCGTGACGATTTTGCGACGATCTGACCTACAATCCGAACCCTGATAGCCGAAAGGTAAGAGACGCGCGTTCGGTGGCAAGGTGCACTCGACCGGGTTGTAGGACGATCTAGACGTTTTTGTGTCAGTTGGTCTGACCTAGAATCTACAGGGGCACGGTAAATTGCACGATCGTGACGATTTTGCGACGATCTGACCTACAATCCGAACTCTGATAGCCGAATGGTAAGAGACGCGCATTCGGTGGCAAGGTGCACTCGCGAGATCGCTGAAATTTCTCAAGGAAGAGGCTCGACCGAGTTGTAGGACGATCTAGACGTTTTTGTGTCAGTTGGTCTGACCTAGAATCTACAGGGGCACGGTATCTCGGGCCGAGCCGGACGGGAACGGATTCGACGGCACGGTTCGATACACTCGCTAGTTCGACGTGACGAGATCGACGGTCGTCAACGAACGTCGCGGTGTCTCGAGAAGGTGAGACGAGGTCGAAGATACGAGGAGACGAAATATGTAGTACACACGGGCGGAGGTACTGTTCCGAAAATAACCGGGTCACTGACACCAACCTTGTTCCTACACCTCCGCGAACTTTCACGTGAAACGGAGTCTGGCCAACGGACCAGCACCAAACATCACCAGACCACTTTCATCCGACGACCTATATTAGACGCGTACAAATACTTTCTAATCCGAAGAGCGTGCTAACTAGGCTCACTTTAACCCGAATCCCTCACTAGTCGGACACTCACCTTACGATTCCTAAGTATCAGTCTTCTGAGAATTAGAACAACGCCGACGGCGATGGGAAAGACGACCAGAGTCGCCAGGATGTAGCTGACCACCGCGACCGTCTCCTGCGATGCAATGGCGTCCCCGTCGTGTCTCTTCGATATCACTTCACTGATATTCACCGACTCCCTTGGACTGACCGATATCAGACCGGTCTCGAAGAACGTCCTGTTCAGTTCGCTGGGATACACCGAGGTGTTGTATTCCGGCAGGATCGCGTGATGATAGATGGGCCTGTGTCTGGTCCGGTTGTTACCACTTCCGTTCGTGGATCCTCTGCCGGGGCCCGTCGGTGGGACATGCGTGGTCGTCTCGCGGTTCTCTTCGTTCTTGTCCTTCCTCGTGGTCTCCGGGACACGGCTGGTGCTCGTCGCGTCGTTCGTAGCACTCTTTGGGGTAACCGTCTCGTCGATTTTCTCGGTCGTTCTCGGGGTCTCGGGTCGCTTCGAGCTCACCGGAAGCTCCGCCCGTCGTTCCGTTCCGCGGGAGAAAGAGTTCATGGGACCACTGCCGTTGAAGATGTCGGAGGTATTGTACAGATGCATGATGGGTAAGACGTCGTCTTTGTCGGACGACGCGTCCTGCGATTTGTCGGACAGGTTACGACCTCTGACTTCCGGCGATCTCTCACCGGACACGCGTTTACCAGGTTCCTCCGCGGATGGCCCGGTGGACGTCTCCGATTTGGCACCCTTCGAATCCGAGGTTGTACTTTGGTCTTGGGGGATCGTGGAGATCTCGATTTGCACGGTGGTGACCGTGGTGGTCGGAGGTTCCGTCGCGATAGGCCAAGTCGTTGCGCCGGCCGTGGTCGTGGTCATGGTCGCGATCGCGTCCTTGGACCTGTACATCTTTTGGATCTCCGATGGATCGAGGTTCGACATTCCGAAAGGTTTGTCGCGATCGATCGTTTTGGTATCGGTCACCTGGTGGTCCGCGGACTCGGTCGGCTTTACGGTGAAAGTCTGCTTCTCGACCGACGCGCGAGCCGCTTCCGCGATTATTCTGGGTGTAACCGGAAAAACTGGCATCGGCAACGGCGTCGCGGCGGTCGTTTCTTCGGGCACGATCGTTTCGTCGACTGTCGCGGTCACTGTCACGGTCGGCGAGCCGCTTCCGTTCTCGCTACCATTATCCGCACCACTCGCGCCATTTCCATCGGACGCGCTGCCATCGCTCGCGGGAACACTCTCGTTTTCACTTCCGAACACGGCATTTTTGTCTTTGGTATCGACGTTGGCGTTTCCGCTCGGCGAGGTTACCACTTCCGTCAAATTACTCCCGTCCTCCTCGGTCGAGTTCACGGCCGTCTGAGCAGCAGTAGTGGAATCGATCGTTTCTTCCACGGAGGGAGCAAAGGGAACCGTGGTGAGCGAAACTCCCCGCTGCATAGCGACACTCTCCGCCGTGATATTCTCCATGACGGTACCCTGGGTACTCGGATTCTCGTCTACTCGCGCGGTTACCCTAAATCCTCCACCCTCGACCGCATCCTCCGAGCTCTTGGTCCGAACGAAGCTCTTCTTGTCGCCGATCAATCCTGACCCGTTAACCGTCATCAGACTCGCGTCTACGATCTTGCTCGTCCCTTTCACCCTCCTGTTGGCAGACGCGATCTGGCCATTTGGCAATCTTCGTCTCTTTGCTATCACCGATGGAACGGCGTCCTCGTCGGGACTCGCTCCGGTTCGCTGATTCAGCACCGCGCTGGCCGACTTCCTGAGGAACCTCCTGTCGTTGGATCCTTCGAGGTCCGTGTTCCTGGCCTTAGCGTGATTCCATCGGACGGCGCCTCTGTGGCTCACTTCCGTCGGCTTCGCTGACCTCGGCCCGCTCTTGTTTACGCTGGTCAGCTGCAGCGGCGACGTTCCGTTGACCGCACGTTGCTGCGACTGTGGCGGCGCGACTGTAACCACTTTCCTCTGTCGTTCCCCCACCAGGTGGGCAGCGGACGCTTCACCGGCTGCGGCTGCTTCGACGGTCGTGCCGGCACTGAGTTCCGCCGGCGCTCGGCCTGCCTCTATACCACTACCGGCACGAGGAAGCAGAAGAGACGGCGGCGGTGGCTGACGCCGCTGCGCTGATCCGGTCGTTATCTCGGTCGTACCGGTGCTCCGCTCTGGACCTCCTTGTTCCTCTCTGCTTAACCCAGGTCCGGTGTAGTTGCGCAATAGCCGCGTCACGTTCGTTATCGTGTAAGCGTACACGTGCTGCTGCTGTTGTTCCTGCCGCTGATGTCGATGCGGATCCTGATTCTCCTCGTGCTCTACCTTGCTACTCCCTTCTGGTTGCTGCTGCTTCTGTTCCCGATGTCCAGGCTTCGCCCGTGCCACCGCCGGCTCCATCGTAAGCGCTGCCTGCTCGCCGCTCCGGGCAGAAGCGATCCTCGTCGTCGTGGTCGTCGTCGTTGTCGTCGTGGTCGTCGTTGCAGCCGTGCTCGGAGTGGGAACATCGCCGGAAGCCACGCCGCGAACTCGTTCCTCCGTGGAATCGACCGGTTTAACGGTATACTTCTCCGCAGCGTCCGCGCCGATCGCGAAACTCTCCTCCAAGCTTCCCTCGGTCACGATGATCCTCAAGGTAGAGGTCTCCGGCGATGTCCAAACGATTCGAAAAGCGTCCGTGGTCGACCGACCGATCTTGTCCCTGGACGTCGAGGTCTCGATGTTGTTGCTCTCGCGAGACCCCGAGCTCTGTGTCCGGTCCGATCGAGCTTCGTCGGATTTTACGGAAACCACCGGATTATCGCTCGCGTCGTACACGTCGATCCTTCGGATCTTTTTCTCCGTCGGCTCGTCGTGCATCTCCGTAAAAGACGATGGATTCGCGGTGTTCGACGTTTCGTCGACGACCACGGTCGAATTCGTCGAGTTCTTTATTCGTCGCGCGTAGCTTTTCGCCGATTTAGTCTGCTCGACTCCGTTGAGCGCGGTCGAGGCGCTCTTGGCCTCGCTCGGCTTGTCCGCGGGACGATCCTTAAAACCGATTTCACTTTCTGCCCCGGTCCGCTCGTACGCGTTCGCGGAAACAGGCTGGCGGTACGGTATCTGGGTCGAGTTGGTCGCATTCCTCGTTTCTGCGAGCACGTGGGTAGCAGCACTTCCTCTCTCGCGCCGCAGCTGGTCCAGCGTGTCAGCGTGAGCGGACGGGTTATCGTCGCGAAATTTATCTCCAGCCGCGTCTGTTCTAGCCTCCGATTGCGTACCGTTTCCGCCGGTCTCCTTCGCTGCAATAACGTTCCAGGCGATCGTTGCCTCCGTCGGCCTCATCTTCCTGTAGTAGACGCCATTTTCCGGGCTCCTGAACGCGTTCTTGATCTTCGACACCTTGTTCTTCTCCACCGTTTGCCGTTCCACCGCGATGTTCATCTCCTCGTTCATCATCTCCTCTAGCCTGGGAACCGGGACAGGCGTGGTCGAGCCGAATCTCTTCATCGAGTACCTTCTTCGAGAACTGGGTACGGTTGGTACCGTCGGCGTTGCGACCTCCACCGAATTATTTCCCGTGCTGTTCTGCATCTCCGGCTGGATCTTTTGACCGAAGTAGAGGAACTGAGACATGTCTTCCACGGGTATGTTGCTCTCCACCGGTCTGAAATACTTGTACAACGACTCCGGCATCGAGACGATGTTCTTCTTGCGAACTTCCGGGTCCGAAGCTTTCTGGGGACCCCCAACGAGGGAGGGAAAGCTCGTAGAGGACAAAGGAGCGGCAAGGTTCCTATGACTGATCGAATAATTGCCTTTCGGATTGTCGGAGATTGGTTTACTCCCGACAATCGATACCGCGAGGCTCTCGTTGCTCGGTTTTCTCGAATTCTGCTCGATCGTCTGTTTGCCTTCCCCCTCCGTCGACACGAACTCGATGTCCAAGTCTTTGCTCGATAATTCCGGTACGATGATCTTGCTGCTCGCTGCCTCCTCGTCCGCCTTGCTGCTCGCTGCTGCAGTTACGTACATTCCATGCCTGGTCTCCTGAGCCTCCAGAACATCCGGCGAGTCTTTCGCGGACGCGTCGAACGGTCTTGGTGTGCGGTTCAGATTCCGAGATTCGATTGGCCGTTGGCTGAAGATCTGTCGTCTTCTCGCCGCGAGGATGCTGCGAAGCGCTTGCTCCCTCTTCGCCTTCGACGCCGGTAGCTCGGCTTGAAGGGACATGCGACCCTGACGATGATCGCCGATCGAGGACTCTGGAAGCAAACAGTACGCCATCAGCTTTAACGAGCCATTCTCAACTTCCAGTGTAAACCACATATCTCTCCTTTTTCTTTCTCGCTTCTTTCTCTTTTTCTGCAATCGCCAGATGCTACTAGGATGAAGGAAGATCGTTTCGTTTCCAGAGGATCGATCTTATACGAATCGCGTGAAATAATCGTGTTTGGAATTATTAACCTTTCGCACTCGAAAGATTCCATCACGTTCCTTTATAAAAATAACATTGCGGGATTTTTCAGTCATTTATCGAAATACTCCAGAGAAAGAGAGAGAAAGAGAGGGGAATTGCACGTAAATTACCGTTTCATTTTATTATTTCACGTATCGTTACGTCGTATATTATTTTCGAGTTAATACCGAATATTAATTCTTCCAATTTTACCAACTGACGTTAAAACTCGATAAATTTAAACGAAACGATTCGTTCCCTGTTAAGGAAAACCTCGGAATTTCCTTGGTACCAGAATTAATCACACAACCGAGTATCCATCACGCTGCGTTTTGCCTATTAATACGCGGCTATTAATACAGCTTCGTTATTTCCATTCCCAGCGCAAGACTTTCTTTTCTCCTCGATCTTGACACGCGAAACAGACCTAAGCTCGTTTCATAAGCGTTACGCTTATCAGCGGATCGTTTCTACCGCGTTTCCACAGAATTACACGGCAATAAGCGGAGCGTCCGCGGTGTTTAGTGATCTCGATGTGAATAATTGGCCACAGTAGGGTGGCGCGGCATAATCACGACATGCAATTCCGCCTCGTTCCGGCACTATTCGTAGAGGGAAAGTTCGGCTAATGTAAACGGATCCGTAACAATGCATCGAGAAATAGTGGAACAGATAATAGTTACACGAGCCCGCGCTCGCCAGCGCGAATTCCTTTCCATCTTTTCAAGGCACGCGTACGCCAAAAGCGTTCAACGCGATGTCTCTGCGCGATACGAGACTCGGATTAATCAAACGCTCGCGTCGCTGTTCGAAAAGCGGACACGATTTATCGACTAATTGTAATTTAGTTTGAAATATCAATTTTATCGCGATATGCAGGAAACTAACCGTGTGCGGAAGGATACATCCAGTTTATCGATAGCGTAACACACACGCACACACTGAAATACGAACAATGTAAATGTTCGAAAAGATTACAACGACATCGTTTCAGGTTTGGGACTGGACCTCGAACAACAAAGAGCCTTTGATCGAACGGCAGACGACCCTCCGACGAGAATACAATAAGATACGTAACCACTTGCGCTGACAAGAAATTCACAGGTGGTCTAGTGTTTCTGTGACAATTGTTCGACGACGTGTATACCACGTGGTTGGCGATTCTGTCACAAAAGCATTACGACGTGCGTGACACGTCTTTCCAGCGCAAGTGGTTAACCCTTTCGGATGGAGCGGTTTCGTGGAGCCTAATCGCTGTCGCGATAGTCATTCGAAACTATCAGCGCTCATTTTCGTTCATAGCGACGCTGGCAATAAGAATTTAAAACAGTCCACCACTTGGGACGTGCAGTCCTAGGACCGCAACAGCGAGCGCATATACGAGTTCCTCAGCCAAACTGATGGTTTCCGCCGAACGCGTATATGCTCGTTCGCAAAGGGTTAACACCTAAAATCAGCTATTGACCCGTCACATCTGACACACCTGGCATCGTTGCATTGCTATAGTTTGTTCCAATCTTATCTCTCTATCTCACGAGACTTCTACCAAAAGTAGGTCCAACCTTTCTATTATCCATAGACTGATTATCACTCGGCCCATTCCATACCGCATTCTATTCAAATTACACAGCGCCAGCGAAATGGGATAAACACGGCGCGAATGAGAACGAATCGAAGAACGAAGCACCGAAACGAACGGAACGCTCCTCGAGATCGCGGATGGCCGACTGGTCTTGTTACTTCTTTTTCTCCTTTCTGCTTCTTTTTTTTCTCCTCTTCTCTTTTTCCTCTCTCCACGCAGGGTTCCACGGACCCTGTACCGTTACTTCACGGTTCCGTACGCGGCAACGAACGTTTGTTTCTCCGCGTCACCTCTTCAGGCCCAGTCGTGCCGTTCGAATCCCCGCAGTCACGATCCGATTAAAATCGCGTGTCAAATTCGAACCCGAGCCCGTGATTCGGCACACCGTTAGACAGGTCGAGGCACGATCTAACGAGACGGCGATCGATCGCGAATATTTCTGTCATTTCGATCGTGACACGGTTCATCGGCCGCGTGCTTCCGATTTAGGATTTAATTTCGTTCGGCACCGGTGGCTAATTGAAAAATGGCAGGACAGCCGCGTTTTTGTTCGTGAGATTAGTCCAGGCAGAGGAAAAAGCGGGCCCGTGAGAACAGAATTTGGACGATGGAATATCAAGGCCTTAGGTCGAGTTACCTCGTGCATGTAGACGAGAGCAGGACTTTCATCGCGATCGTGGATTCAGCGGCAGGAGAAGGAGAAAGGATCCCGATGGTACCGTTAGTAGCAGCGAAGCTCGGTACTCGTTTATCGTTCTTGAACTTCCGATCAGGTACCGAGCAGACTTTTAGGAGAAAGTTGCATCGTTTTATTATTACGGGTCATTACTTAGAACGTAGTAAAATTAGATTCCCGATGACGATTTACCTGCTTCCTTTAACTCGTTCCGTGTCATGTGTACCATTTGCGGTACACGTTAAACTTGATCTGCAGGCCACGTGTACCATAAATGGTACACGCAGACATATTTATTTGATGCGCTGAGAACGTGTTTCGTGACAAATTTAATTCTGAAGATAATATATTTCCAATAAAAGAATGAGGCATTATACAAAATGCAGCATAGAACAAAGCACGTAAATTAGTTTAATTGTTATATAGACAATAATTATTAATTACATGTAATAGTTGACTTTTTTAAAGAAAGAGATGCATAAAAATCGCTGCAAAACGTCACTACTCTTCTAGTTTTCTTTACTAATAAAAGATTTTTCAGCTGGCTAATTTTTACATAAATGGTACAAGGTGTGATAACTATTCTAAAGAAGGTAATTACTTATGGATCGATGATGCAATGACATATTGTGTGATAATATATCAATTTTTAGCGAAAACAACAAATGGCCTGGAAATCATGTCGGGCAAAAACCTGCTAATAAAAGTAAGGGGGCGAACGTCTTGGAAGGATACGAAGCAAGTTGAAATCGAGAAGCAATTCGATGATCTTCCTCTCATTTCTACGCGAAGAACGATGAGATAAAATTGAAATTTCTTTCGAAATTAATTCACTTTCTTATTCAAACGATTCGAACACTTTAAGCCGAAAAATAATCTTACGATAGATATATAACTTTTTCGCAGATTTATATTTCTCGAAACTCGATGATAAATTAAAAGATAATTTCTTACTTCGATTTGTAAAAATTCGATCAACGAGCACCGATATTTCACAACCAACTAAGCAATGGCGTTAATAATAACAAAATTAAAATTACTAAATTAATATACAATATTAAATTACGTAAATCTAAAATAACAGGTATTAATAAAATAATTTCAACATGAAAAATTAAAAAATATTAATGATATTAAATAAAAAGAATCGTTTTAGTGTCAGAACTTTTTAAAAACTCGTGTTGGATAGTATCATGTGCTTCCTTCGTTTAACTGCGAATGATAGCTACTCTAAAGCTGCTTACTTATGCACACGGTTTAGGTTAACGTGCACGTTAACGAAATGAAATGAACCTAGCCGAGCAGAGCCAAATTCGAGTCGGGACACTTCCCGTGACACCGTTAACAGCATCGAGGGGATAGTGGACTCACCCTGTCGCAGGGTCGGAGGAGCTAACGGTGTCCCTGAATGAAGAAAGGATGCGGTTGAAGTCAAGTGTCAAGGTCCCGGGTCAAACCGCTTTATAAAGACGGACGAGAGGAGATCTCTATCTCGACTGGCGATACGACAAAGAGAAAAGAGGAAAGGGTGTGATAACACCGTAGCGGTATCTCAAGGTAATTACATGGTACCGGTTTCCTTATAAGCGGGCAGAAATAAAAGATATCCAAGAGGCGACTCGCCACGCGGACGACCAATCCCAGGCGACTCGTGTCCATTTTTCCATCGCATTCTTCGCTAATCTACGGTATTTCATCGGTCGGATCGCCTCGAGTACTATCAGCGATGCGACGCAAAACAAAGTATACCTGCGCTAATTTACCGATATCTCGCTTTGCTACACGCTTCCAGGCTAATGAAAAATACCGATCCTCGGCCGGCGTTATCGCCGATGCCTCGCAGATTTTATTTATAGCACCGGTGATCCGTTGAAAAACAAATAATTCTCGCTATCCGACGTAATCCGCCATTTTTGCCACGGCAGCTGACGCCTAAGCAAACACTAGGCTCGCGCCTATTCTCTCGTCGATACCCCCCCGTATCGCGTACGAACTTCGTTCTTATCGAATAAAACGCAAAGTGGCACAGGTGTTTATCTTCAGAGGGAAAAAATGGAGGAAAATGTCGTTCGAGGAGCGCGGATGATAAGCGTAGGATTAAACGGGTAAACAAATAAGCGTCGCGATATCGGGCCAGGTATCGCGGGAGAAATAATTGGTCGTGCCTAGAGTGTTCGCCGATGAATTTATTCCCGAGGTGTTACAAATCGGTAACGTGGCCGCAATTAGAGGTGGCCAGTAAATCAGTCGATCTGCTCGTTCTTCCGGCAACGTTCAACAGCCTCTCGCGAAGTCGCGATAATTTACACTTTTTCCCAACGACCCTCGCGCCTAGGCGTGCAGGGACAAAATTTCTTCCGTGACCCGCCACGATGTTCCGCGGCGCGAGAATGACCGCATCAGGTACTTACGTCTCCATATGCACGCGCATAACTTACAAGTCTACGACACGCGGAAAGCGGCTTTAAACGCGGGAGAACCGCTTCCGTGGTAAATCATCGGTGACGGGAAAAGGGATGCCCCTGTGCACGGCTAACACAGTTGTCTC